TACTGCCTTGGCATTGCAAACTTTATGCTTATTAAAATGACGTTAAAACCGACTATCTACTCATTTTAAAATAGTTTAACGGCACGTAGGAACAATACAGTTCTTGAATAACTTCAAACTAGTGAAATCCTGGGCCGGAGTAAGTTTCTGCTAAGAATCAACTTGCGAACAAAATCACATCGCAGACAATATGAATAATGTATTCGTTCAAAGAAAGGGACACGCAGATGAGACCGTATTTTAGCTGCTGAAACCAGGAATGAATAATTGAACCTGCCGAGAAAATGTCTTAGATTGTGTAGACAGATATTATTGAATTCTTGGGCCCTTTGGAACGTGCAAAACTAACATTTTTTCAGTCTACAAAAAGGTCGGTATTTACTTTCAGTAAATTCTTAAACACTTAGGCGTTCTTTGCTAAAAAGAGACTCCTACCATCAAGTAATTTTAAATTAATTTTGTATTTATATTTTGTTAACGTTACCTATGTTTATTCGAAATATTATGAGCGAACGTTGATAACAACACCGTCCTTTAAAAAAAAACTGCATATTAAGTAGCTTCTACCAATACACTTATTGCTTTTAGAAAACATGACTACACACATTTCATTTATGCATGTAAATATAGTATACGTTATACATATAGACATGAATATACAGGAAAGTGTCAAAGAAACAGCTTTCTAAGGCGTAAAGTATAAAACAATAGCTTTGAAACAGTTTGCACAACTCACTTATTTATCTATTCATTAAGAGGACAGTCGGGGACGGGAAGAGTTTATGGAATTCTAATGCCTTTTGTACGGAGTGTTGAACATTTAGCATTGCAAATACAATGATCTAATCTCGTCGCTGACTGACAATATAATGGTAAATAGTTTCCTAGCTGTATGACGAGAAAACTATTACACAACGAGTTTTGGCGTGGGATTGACACGTATTGTGGTTTTATTGACAGGATATTATCATCATATTTATTTGATGAAAGTATCTATTGTTGTTTTTGTTCATGACTTGTCTTTATTATTGCTTTATGAATAAGTCCAAGGATTATTACTTAATATTATTTCAAGCAATGTTTCGTTTCTCTATTTTAGCTAGATTTCTGATGTTCTCCTGTTTTCTGAATTCTTGTTGAATGATCATCAAAACTTATGAGGCTTAGCTTAGTGGATCTTTAAGATTTTGTACTGTCTGAAGGACTATTAATGACGTATCAAAAAGCATGTCCGTAGCTTCTTTTAGAATTCTCGATACACAGGCTATAGATAGAACCCTGCGTAGTTAATTAATGAGCTAAAATTAGAAGAAATATCTGAAGATATTACGTCAAATATTCGGAATGTCGTTAACTATATTTGTACGAGTATATCTACTGTTTAATGATGTCATTATGGATATAAATAATACCTAACATAACACCTATTATTTTGCAACCGTTCATCCAATGTTTGTCTGTGTAAAACAACATATAATTTTCTTAAGTAATACCCGTGCCTATGTAAGAAAATGGTAGTGTGTGTAAACATGTTACTGCTGAATGAAATACCACACATGTGTAATGTACATACATGGTGCGAAACGAATAAAGTTGTAACACAAGTTATGACAGCTCGTTGTGAACTACTACTAATGTGTGTGTAACTTTATAGATATATTTATTTGACCGCGGCTTGAGAGCGGACCACCCGGTGAACCGGGAGATACTGATCACTATCATCAGGTGTCGGCACAAACTATCGTGGCGGTCCCCGGCGTCGCCATAAATAAAATTCGACACTTAAACAATAGCCCGGCTCGACCCGACCCACAGACCCGGAGATCGAACGATACCGTGCGCTCCTCCGCCGCGATCACAACACTACAACGTATTAGACAACCTGTTCTTGCTGCCGGGGTACCGTCTGCCGGCCATTACTGTCAAGTACCGTCACACCTCTCCACTCAACTTTACATACATCACTATCACATCGAACACGAATCGAGCTGCCTCTAATAATATCATTACCATCACAACATATTTCAATTTATGAAACTGAGCTTACCTTAAATAAATAGCCGTCGATATAGGCCGGTGTTGTGTAATTAATACAAATTGCTTTTGGCCGTAAGTGGCTGTCAAAGAGGCCGCGAGCCGGGATTAATGTTAGATAAGTGATTGGGCGGTGGATCGCGAAACTTTCTCACGATAGCCAGTGCGATAGGAGCGGCCCGCGGCGACGTATCTTCCTGGCTTACTCCCGTACCGACAAAATATTGTAGTTCCTTTTACAGTGAGAGATAATGTTGTTTACTCAGTGCATTGCACACTGCACTTTATCTAGTGCGGCTGGTTCCTTGCCTTTAGCGATTCCCCTTTAGGTTTCCTACAAAGAGAATCATAAATGGAGTGAAAATATCTTCTCAACCTCATCTGTGTCAAAAACTTAGAAGTTTGAGTGTTTACCATAAATGGTATAATTACTCTGTTCATAGTTGCTAGTATGGGTAATTACCAACAGCGGGTTAAAAAAGCAAACGGTAGAAATAGAAAGTTTATTCCATAGAAATGAAATGTTATGTAAATATAAAATCTCAGTGTAAATATTTGCCCTCCGAGTCGTTGCTGTTGGTAGTGTTGGTGGACGTTACGCTTACATTAGTTGCTTTTTAAAGTAATATTTACTTTGGTGGACCACTTTTAAAGGCTTGTTAGTGATCACTGCACTTGTATTTTCACGCAGCAGAAACTCAATTTAAATGGAGTCACTATTTATATTTATCTTCCATAAGGTGCAACGATGCAGCTACGGGGAAATTGGGTTAACTAGCACGCCCGTCGTCACTGCACTATGGCGTGGAGCATTCTTGCCTTCATGTGTGTGGATATCAAAATAATCGCTGTTAAAAAAGCTATAATTAAGCGTTAAGACTTGAAACCGGTTAGACGAGAATGTTTAACGTATTTATTTATAAAACCTTAACGTAGATGTATGGCTTTAATACTTCCTAGTTACGAAGTCTTGTAAACAAAGTGCCGCTAATTTAATCAACATTATTAACTGAGCGCTTGTGATAAATCTTATTAATTTGACTCGAGTGCTTGGTAGCTTTTAAAGAAGGCCGATCTTACATACAGAATAAATGAGACTCATTCATTCATGAGTTCAAAATATATAATTAGGTACATCCCTTTAGCTTTATCTATTAGAGTTTAACAATAAATGTTTATTTCTTGCAGAAGTTATTGGAAACTATGTGCGGTATACAAATGTAGATACAGAAATAAAACAATTATTTAGTAACCTTCGGATATTGAACACATTTATAACTTGTTTTCTTACTTGAATCTCAAATGCTGTCAATTTATTGTTTAGTATGAGACTACTATTTTTTTTAACAATCAACTACTAGACTACGGCTTGCTCTACAAAAGAGGATTTGCCCTGATTTTCTTACATCGCCGACCGGTCGACAGATAGTGGTTCAAAAGGTTTTTCGGATGAATTTAACCTTGTAATATATATATTTTTTTGTCAAATCACCATAAAGTAACATAAATATAGTCTGTGGCCATCCGCCATATCACCAACAAAACAAAGACGTGATTGGCATTCACGAGTTGCCCTGTAACTTGTGCAGGGTACAGGTGACCCGTGAGAATGTTACATTGTCGATCAGAGCACATACAGATATGTTCATATTGTACCCTGTTTGGTATATACGGCGACGTCATTTCCTATAGTAGCTTTCAATACATGGAATAATTAGGTTGGTACCTGCCCGAGTAATAGATTGTTTAAATAGCGCTTTGATGGTAAGGTTAGATAGATATTTTTGTGATATTAAATAATTCATTATTATGATCTAATTAGAAATTAGTTTAAATAATAAGTTAACTTCCATTTTGACTGCACGATTGGTGGCTGGTGCGGTAGATTCCCGCATGGAGCAACTTTTTGTGTGATCCATAAATTGTTGTCCTGGGTCTGGGTGTGATATGTATGTGAATTTGTATGTTTGTAAACGCATTCACGACACAGGAGAAAATAACAATAAACAATAAAAACCATGCTATATGAAGTTGAAAACACCACATTTCAATTTAGTTCTATTCTAAATAAGACAGACTCGTGATATTTACTTAATCCCGAAAATTGAGTTCATAAATGTAAACATGAGATGAAGAAAGATGTTTTTCAATCGGGTTTAGTTAACGCGCGCGTTGCACGTTTGTTTACGGAAGCGAAGCCCGCCCGCCCGCGCCGCCCGCCCTACGCCGCGCCGTGCAAACACATGAATGAAACGATCAATTGCGTCATGCCGCATTCTACAACTTTTCTAAATCACTTATAAATATTATCTCATTAATAAATATTATTTTATTATTTTCATCTTGATTCTACTGAATGTAAAACTATTAATTGACCATTAACTTTTAATTACTTTGCTTCTTGATCAGTCCATGTCTACTCATAACATTACACACTATTAAACTAGACAATCCAGATAGTTCACTTATCTAGATGGCGAGAAAATTATTTTTATGGAGTTCCATTTCAATTTTATGACGTAATTTTAATTGAGACATTGGAAAGCACGACTTAATGCCTGCTTGCAGCTTTAACGACACGACTAGTCATTAGTGAGCTGCGAACTTTAATGAAATGATTTACCTTGCGTATTGCGTAGGTAGGTCTAACACCCACTGATCTATATTTAGTTTCCTTTTCATTGATGTTTTAATGATGGCATAAACTAGCTTATTAAGTGCCTATTTGATAGTTAACCTTATTTATTTTGAAAATACGTACGCACGTTTTGAAAATACCGTGCAGTAAAAATCACAAATCCGTTGTCCAAACGGCATGTCACGCGTCACGCTTGGATAGTGTCTGCACCCAAACTTGTATAAAGATAACAGAGGAGTAGTTTACGATTGTCTAGCGCGACAGTTGCTTAGCAACGGTCTGACGCCAGAGTGCCGGCGAGAGGAGCGCCGGGACGCTGCGGCCGAGCGCCGCCAGTGCCGCTCCCGACGTCGCCTCACGCGTGTATCCGTCACGATACTCTATGCTAAATAAATCCACCATGTAGTCTATGGACTTCTTGTGCAACTTGGCTCGAAAGTTTACAGCCAGTGCCAATAAAAAAATCTCGGTCGGGCTCCATTTATGAAATAAAAAAACTAGTTAATTAAAAGACAAAAGTGCAGTGGTTTTACCAGTGAAAAGTTTACTCGAAAGTATTGAAGTGCAATTGTTTTAAGAATTTGTTCTTTTTCAGCATTTTTGTAAGATCATGTCCTTATTTAATAACTGGAGGTACTCTGTTCCTGTCAAACATGAAACTTTTCAATTTAAACGAATTTATTTAAATATTTTTGGTATCACATTTATGCAGATGTTTAAACAGTCTGAGATAAGATAAACGAGCATAATGCAAGGATTACGTTGCCTTGAAACTGCTTTGCAAATTACTAATGATAAAGTAAACAAGAGAATTAATTATAAGTATGAAAATACAGGCTACGTCGTCTAAATGCCTCTAGAACTATTACCATTACAAGAACATATTGAGTTCTAGAATATTCAAAGAAACGTTTCAATCGACCGCACTATTTGTAATCACGACCATAGAAAACAAAAAAGCGAGCGCAATGAAAAGAGTCGTCGGCGACGGCTCGGCGTCTCAGTGACCGCTGATTCCCGTCATATGACGGTCTTTTATTTAGATGAGGCACACCCCCGAGGTTATTCACCCCCGCGCCGTAGCACGCGCTTCATGAGGAAGGTCAGGGTTATTGCGGTGACGTGACGCTGCAAACTCTCCTGTTTAACTGCCGTTAATGTGGATCCTGCGTAAACACATCGTTTATTCAACCTGTTCAATAAGGTGCATCGTAAAACGTTGAGGGTTGCGATGGACAAAACAGTTAAACAAAAATTACTGTATGTAGCTCGTTGAAAGTAATGCGTGGAATTGATAAGTTTAAAACATTATTGAAAGTGTCGTAGTGCAGCGGATGTAGGTGGTTGTCGCAGTGCAGGGTTTGGGGCGCATGCCCCCGGGCGCCGGGCGCCGGCTCCACTGTCGCCACTCCATGTGTGCTACAAACCACACGCTCCTTTCACTTCATAGTCCTTTGTTTTCGTACCTCTCATTTAGAATTCTTTCTATTAACACTTTCCCTAGAAATTCACAAAATGCTGACTATATTAGGTACCAACGATAATGTTTCAAGAAAGAATTTTAAAATGGAATAACTTCAAAGAAATGACAATAATGCAAGTTAAATGAAATCGAAAAACTGTGACGAATTGATGGACTGGGTGAAGTGTATGCAAGTGGGTGAAGATGCGCGGTCGTTGCAGCAGAGGGGCGGATGCTGCGCGTGCGCTGCACCGGCTCGCGTTTGCGCTGTGGCGCGCCGTGTTCTACCTGCAGCGTGCACCGCTGCGGGCAGCGCGGCGCTCGCGCAGTCTCGCCGCATACACGCGTGCTCCCACTGTGGTCGGTGCTACTCATACCACATCGTATATTAATAAAAACTAGACTACGTAACCTATTTTTACACTATTAATATCCGTTTTAAAAGCTTCATAAAATATGGCTGGCATAAAATGTTTTATTCGTTGTAATCTATACTTAGTACATTACACGGATAGCAGAGTTTATTATCTGTGAAGGAATGGATGTGACTTGACATTGATGAAAAATGTAAACTTTAACTTCTTAGAAGTAAGTTCCTACTCAAACATTTTTCGAGCATCGTAACTGCGGATGAGGTGAAAATATTATTATGAATTAGTAGAGCTCATTGTTTATTCTTCAACAAAATGATGTAGTTTATTAAGTTATTGTAATATTTCTTATGCAATATCTACTAAATTTGAATACCTATTTGCTCTAGTAATTTTGTTACGTAAAAGCACGATAAAATACATAAAGATATTAATATCAATTAATCAACAGGGTATAATGTGTATAGTTAATACGATAAAAGCTGCAGTAATCACTTGAGCCGCGCCCAGTGGGGCTCATTTGTCAGTTTTATTGAAGCGATCCGTCCGTCAGTCCGTCCGATCGCCATACTCTTGACTTATGGGGAACTGACGGCTGCTAAACTTTGACCGTCCGTCGGCATAATATGTTCCAAGTCTCACGGTGTAACTCTTTAAACATTTGTACCAAGTTGTACTTCAACTTCATCTCATTATCATTGTACACGCTCACTTTATGTTTCCGAGATGAATATCATTAGATTTTCTTTGGAATAAGGTCTTGTTTTGCTTAAATTTTGGTAGCTTCTTATCAGGTGTGTTGCATCTGCAACTAAATCATTCTGATTGACAGATGAGCTACTATGATTATGTTATGTGTGTGTTTGTAGGAATACAAAAGAAACGTGTTTTCTTATAAAGATGTACGTTCTAGTTGTAAAGTATTACTACAGCTTTAAATTTTTAATTTGTGGCTACAACTCGTTATTCTAATTAATGCAGTTTTCACACCTTACCTATCTTTTGATTGGTGAAGATTCCTACTTGAAATCAACGTTTGGAAGTTTTACAAACTAGAGATTTTATTTACATAAGTAAAATATGACGAAGTTCATCGTTCACGCAAATCAAAACAGGATTTCAACTAACAAAGGAACGTTCATCAAATTGACAATTGAAGTGTCATGAGAACGCAACCACAAACGCTGCGTCTGGCCGTGTGAAATCAAATTACTTACCACTTACAATCTCGATTTAGTCAACGACATTTGATAGTTTAAAACGCATTCCTTCACACCATATCAGTAATATCTAAATACACAACGCCATTACAACTATTTCTGTGAAATAAAATCCCATCAACTCGATCCGACATTGAGAAAAACTGACAAGGATTAAATTACTACTTTTGATTTCATTTTAATGACAGCTCGACCTCGGCTTCGAGCTTTCAAAGTTTTATTTTGCAATAGCACAGTAATCACAGTCTGGCATTGATATAATGCGGATGTTTTTAATGATGTATTATTTATCTATAGATAGACTTTTTTTTTAAGGGGGGAAAATCATCGACTGACTGCTCCCGCCTGGGTGAGGCGGGAGGGAGTGTCAGACTCTTACTGACTAAATACCACCCCGTTCCTTCTCCTGCACGTCGAGCCGGAGCCCCGGTTACCCGTTAGGTTCTCCGCGACATCTACCTCTATAGATAGGCTATAGTCTTTATTTTTTGTTGTATTACTCTATCTACTACACTAGTAGATTTAGTTAGTTGTTTCTATTGGATACCACTCTGATTGAAGATTTCTCTGGCTGTAGGAGACGGAGATATTTTTTTTTTTTAATTACATTATCTTAACATAAGAATGGGTCTGATGACGTTTTCAATAAAATAAATGCCTGTCTAATGCTGGTCTTTCTATTGTTACAGAGTCGAGCAGTGAGTGCACCCGCGACACCAGCCTCCACGACATTCTCGAGAGATCAGGTAATAAATTACTAAAATTAATTACTAATATTTAAATCATCCCTATATAAATATAAGCTAGTTTATTCTAAGTAGGTATGTAGGTACACTGAATTCTTGAATGCGGAAATTTTCAGCATAAACATTAAGTTTCTAAATTTTCCGTAAAGGGGATGTTTACCTCTATTTACTCGGGCGAAGGATTGTGTCAAAACGAGAATCAAATACAGGCCGTGATCCATTTTCTACCTTAGTTTTCTTCGTAACTACAAACAACAACACGCATATTTTGCCTAATGCAATCATAATATTCATATCATGTATTTTTTTGGCACGATACCAAGGCATTTGAACGTTCGATATGTTTTCTCAATGGCTACCATAAAATATGGATTAGATTTTTTCTTTATAGATCATAAGTTTTTCTTTTATGTCCATCGTTACTCAGAAATTTTGATCCCACAGGATGAAACAGCTTTATACTGAACTAACTAGTTCAACCTCATTCATTAGTTTTAATGCGAAAACTTCTTAGTTTCTTCTGAGTACATTATAGAGCGATTTTTCATGTTTAACAGTACAAAACATAAAAATCTAATAAGTTTTCAAAGGAACCCCTAGACAGACAATATGTATATAAAATACAAGCTTCTGCCGGCCTTTTTGCCCGTGTTGTCGTCGGATACGAAGTAGCTTAGATATTCCAGACCATAATTGTAACAGATTAGGGCTGGATGTTTCCACAACGAGATCAAAAACCGAGAAAATTGGCGGGAACGCGGACGTTTTGGCGGCGACTGTTGGCTTCGAATTTTGAATTTTAATGCGAACGCGAATTCACTACGTTACCGCCATTTTTCTTATCGCGCTACAAATGAGGTTTTTAGCCATAAGAGTTAGTTGCCTACAAAATAATCAATCGTTATTCCAAATTTAAATCCGATCCCTTCACCGTTTTGACATGATTAAGAAACAAATATATTATACACAAACTTACAACGAATCATATAAATTTATAATAGATATTAAGTAAGATGTATGTATCGCAATTAAAATAATGATACCTCGATCATGTCTACATACATAGGAACTTATAGGTACTACTACAGATAAATACTATCCATTATTCAAAGGTATTTAAGAGACCTAACTAAGTACAAAACTATCTCCCACGAAATTAACAAACGTTTATCGGAACGTAAAGCATTTAATGGGAAAAGGAAACTGAACACAATTCTGCATAATTTTCGCAATTATCTTTAATCAACCATAATAAGCATTTTAATGGGCCATCGATACAAATAAATGTCTTAAGCTCAAATAGCCTTAATTTACATCACATAGAAGCAGGGCTTACGCATCGACTAGTCTAATCGGATTAAATGTATTGAAGTGAAGCTCGCATAGTACGCAGCTTCGCGTCGCCCGCGCAGCCTGCGCCTACGCAGTGGTTGAGACACTTTCACAGAATTATGGCGCGCCTACGACCTTATGTTAGCTGACATAAACACTTAAAGCAAGACAAATCAGGGCTTTTCTCTACAACGTCACCTTTCTACTCTAGTTTACCATAACAAAATAAATTCCCGAATACATAGACAGAGCTTCATCGATTCATTATTCACTCTATAAAATGATCTAAATAATACTAGATAATCATATCCAAAGACCTTAGTCTTTCAAACACCAAATGCTGTTAATTTAAAAATCTTAAAACTCTTTTTGCTACTGATTTTAAGTAGGATAAAAAAAATACGCCATTCCATAATCGTGAACCTCATCCACTAGTCTCACTTGCCACTAAAGAATAACAAAGTAAACAAACAAACAGTGAGATTTTTTTTTCTATACAACCAGTTTTAAATCTCAAAGCGGGAATTATGACGGGATTAACGGTCTCTTTCGAAGACCCGACAAATGTTTATGAGTCCTTCACAGTTGCACAGTCGACAGGAACATGTGTTAAACTGGAACTATAAGAGGGGACTCCAAAAATAACTCGGTGTGAACGGTTCCGATAGAAGTAGTTTATTTCCTGCATGGTGACCTTGAGATTTTAGGGACTGATAACCGATACAAACGGTTAAGATACGATATCATATTTGGACCATTGAAAAAACAGTAACTTGAGATAGGTACTTCCTCCACAATGCTGGACGAAAATGGGTACATAGTTTTTTTATTAAATAAGAACATTGTATTTCTGTACTTATTTCTGATATTGATCGTCGATAATCGTAACCTTCTATCATTTCTTTGAGTTCATATTTTTTTTTCATAACTGCCAAATTATTTTTTTCTTTTGTATTTTCTGCTTGATGCACAGAAATGTGCATTCTTACTGACCACCGTCCCCTGACGTATTTACCTTTAATTGACGTCCTTGTTCACATCCCTTGAAACTGGAACTAAAGGTGATTTAAGGTAGGATGGAATCAATTTGTGTTCATTTCCACGGGTGTTACATTGTATCATCTTGTATGAACGGAACCCTGGTAATTTTTCTGTAGACACTAAATAAAAGTATACAACCTCGCAAAATCAGTCATACTGTATATTCTTATAAATATCTATGAACTCTAACATTATATTGTTTAACTAAATATTGTTACTACTCTACCTACGTTTTGAAAGTCTCTAGGGGCAAACCATGTATTGAACATTGATTTGAAAATAATGACATTTTGCATAATTTTTATGTTTTAATTAAATTTCAAAAATGTTTAATTCTTAGTTTTGTCGTGAAATACAAACTATTTTTTGATTGTTGACAGCTTAAAAGGCTAAAAAACGAACTATTTTAATTTAAAATCACGTTCTAAATGTTTACTGTCAAAAAAAGGCGGGAATTTAATAAAAGAAGATTTTCGTGTGTGATTATGATTTCTGATCTTGATATTATTACAAACTTTTTTACGATTGACAGCTAAAAGGTTTAAAAAAAGAACTATCTAATTTCAATTTATAATGACGTTCTAAATGTTTATTTTGAAAAAAGGCGGGAAATTAGAGAAAGAAGCTTTTTGCACGAAATACGTTGTGTGTGTGATTATGATTTCTTAGTAAATGAAAACAGACGAAAAGCCTTCTATAATGATAACCTATTCCAGTTTCATCCTAACATCTATAATTTCGTTTTATTTCTTAAAATACGATCTAATGATTAGCTTTTCTATCTTCCACAGGGTGGATCCCGATCAGCAAGTTACCCAGGAGGACCAGGCAGTCGGCTAGACCTCTGCTATGTGGCGGAACGTATGTTGGCGTTGCATCTGCCTGAAAGAGACGCGCATGCGGAAGCACAGGCCGCGCATATGCTCACCAATAAACATGGAGAACATTTCATGGTGAGTTGACATTATGATTATATTATTTGTGATTAACTATTACGCAAGAAACTCCACCAGAAGTAAACAAAATAAGAGATTTCTTATATGGAACTAGTTGGTCAAATATTAATTTATATATCTTGAATCTACAATTTCTTTCAGGTTTTTCCATTTTTATCTTTTCTGTAGTGATATTTATTTGTGGCTTATAGCTATTCGAACTAATAAAACTTGAGGGTCCTCGGAAAATAATTTATTGTTATTACATAGACACGAAATTGTTATTTTTTCTTTCACTCGTATCATTAGTGTAGAATTAGATGTAAAAGTTATTATTTGACGTGTTGAATATTTTAATTAGAGGAAGTGCTGCCCACATGGTGGCTCGTCGCCGTCTGAGCGCGGCGACTTTGAAGACATATTTTATTTGAAAAGTAATTATATGAGATGAACGTTTAATTGCTACTAATTTTCTGAAAAAAATATAAATTATTAGACAGCTATAAGCTAAAATAACTTTGGAGTGTCTTTTAATTGAATTCATAGACGTAGGTATTGCTAAATCGATGCTCGAATGTAGGTTTGGAGACATCCTAACGGTACTTACGATGTCTCCAAATATTTTGTGATCGAAATATTAATAATTTAATATATATGTATTTGAACTTTTCTGCGACTTTTGAGTTTTAGATAATCACTATTATAGGATAAATAGATATTAAGATGTTTTCCACAATTTTCCGATATTTCTTTATTTTATAAACTTCCTACACATATTTGTGTAGGAATATATAAGTACGTATTATATTTAATACGCTTAATTTTTTTTAATGCCTGTTTTAAGAAACTTTTCATTAACTTGCACTAAAAGTCTGTATTTCATAAATTATAGGCTACTACGAAAATTTTAAAACGTAAGGGACAAGCAAAAATCCTTTTTACGATAGGTACTTTTCAAACATAACAGTTACTGACAAATCTCTATACCCTTTTCCAGGTGTTCGAGGTGAGCGGCGGTGATGGCGCCGGCGGTGTCGGTGCAGCTCGCAATGTGTTCGGCCGCGCCCGCTCCCTCGGCTGGGCAGGCGACCTCGCACCGCCGCTAGAACGACTCTGTGCAGCTTGTAAACACATTGAAAGCTGGCTCGCTGCTCACCCCAAGAACGTTGCTATATTATTAGCATGGTAAATATCTATTTTAAATTGTTATGATAACTCCTTGTGTGATTCAGATATTGTAATGAATGGGTGAAATCGTATATTTATAAAAGCATCCACGACATGGGAAAATATTCAGGAGGGGGCAACGTTTAAAAAAATACAGAATTAAATAACAATTCATCATCATCATCAGCATTTGAAACTGATCCCTATTAAGCACTACAGACTAGACGGAATTAAGATCCACGACTTAAGACGATCATACTTTATAGTACCTACCTACCTACTGTTTTTCGTAGCAATAAAACACATTTTCGTTTAAGAACATTCAAAATATATTTTGTATTTGTGTTCTGAGTGGGCAACTTATAAATTTAAATTACACGTAAACCTTGAACACGTAAGTTATTTATTGGAAAATCAATAAGGAAAATACATAGATTATACTTTATCATTTTTCCGCCGGCCTTTTCCGGGCTGATTTAAATTTAAGTACGACTATTTCTATTGATATCGATAACAAATCCTAGATAAATTGAACTGTAAAATAGATACGGAAATAAAATAAAAACAGTACAATTCTATTTTTTCAATTAATCGTAAATTTACTTCTACGAATTGTAGGTACGATTCTTATATACGAGCCTCAAGCATACGTTTTATTATGAGCATAGTTATTATGAACTAATGAGCATTTAAAATGACCCTTTCCGTGTTACTTCCTCTGGCTTATAGAAAGACATATATAACGACATATAGAAAGTATACTATTTTATATAATACATCTTTTTACACGATATTCGTTTTATTATTCACCATTAAATAGACATTACAATATTAATTCTAGGGGCAACAGAGAACGTCTCGGCGTGTTAGTGGCGGCTTACATGCACTACTCGGCGATATGTGGTGCGCCGGAGCATGCGCTCGACAGATACGCCATGAGGCGGTACTTGGATGATAGAGTGCCAGTCTTCCAACTACCCAGCAATAAACGGTGAGCATTCCATTATTAACTTCATTGTATGTAAAATATAGACCAGACTAAATATGTAACTGGAAAGGTACCTACCTAGATAAATAGATGAAGCTCTTGAAAATGAGTAAAACTGAAAATAACACTTAAAGGTATGACCTTATTGAGAGCTTAGTGATTACAAATCCAATAAAGGTTTATTGGATTTGTTGGATTAGCCACTAAAAACTTTAACCGTTTATCCAATCATTTTGTCAAGGACATCGGTATTTTTTGCTGATGATAACGTTACAATCATAAATAAGAGAAACCATAAGGTCAAAGAAATCAAAATCTTCATGCAACTTTCGACAAATTAAGTCTGCTAAATAAATGTTATTGGCACTTTGACACTGGTAGGAATAGCAAAAGTAATAGGAGCTATAAAATCAAAACAATTATATCAAAACTTTCGTGAGACATACTATATTAATTATTAGCTTTTCGGTTGACCCATGCAACTGTTTGACGAGGAACTCGACTAGTATCAAGCCATGCTAGAGGCTCATGAGCAGCATTCTACTGGCTGTTCGGCTCGCCGGCGCCGCACAGCCGAGCCGAATCTAGTCGAGTTCCTCGTCAAATAGTTACGTGAGTAAGCTGAAAATATAATAATTAACGTATTATTACTTGTGTTTGGAGCTACCAATTTAACTTTTAACTTTTTTGGTTATGATCAGCTACATCGATACATTCGCTGGTCTACTAGCGGGCCAGATCCGAGTGAACGCAGCTCCATTACACCTCACCCACGTCAGTGTGGCAGGATCACTCGCCTCGCCTGCCACACCCACCATCGCCTTCCTCAAGATATACGAGAACTTCGTCTGTGTTTACACGTCAGGTAACTTGTAATTTTGTACTGTGATAGTTATTTAAGTCATAGAAAATGTAGCTTTTATTAGCTTCATACATTATTATATCATATCATTTTTTGAACCACAATATGTTTAATGTTGAACATAGGCCGTTCCCACTTTTTACGGGCTCGATAAGTTTTTGAAAAAAATGGTTGCAGATTTATTTCGTATAGTGGGCGCTGCTGTACCGATTTCTTTTATTACCCTTTGATAGTAATGTAAACTAGATTAGCTATGGTAGTCCAAAAAAGGTTATGGGTGATGAACTATTTAAACACTTTAATATGTCTACATTGGCTTAACAGTCAATTACAATGCCGAAGTAAAATACGGCACGAGAAAAAAAAAATGTAAGCTGATAATACACAAAATAGCCCAATCTCTTCATTCCCTGCTATTAAGATTATTCAACTAATCCAATCGAACTATACGAAGATGGTTTATATTTACTCTGTACTACAGCTATTGCAAATATTGATTGACACGATTATAATCAAATACTGATCGCTGAGCGTCCAATATTGACTGAACCCACAAAGCACGCTGACAGCGGGAAACCGGTTGTTTATGTCTTGGCCTATTAAGTACACATTAACAGCAGTTGGTGGTCTATTAAGGGAATCGGTATCTATAACGCAAGCGGGAAATATTTGAAGTGTTTATGAAGGGTATCTGAAGGGTTGAGTAATGTCAGGTTAAGAAGAATGGGTTAAATGAAAGAAAGTGAAAACAAATATACAAACAGTTTGGCTAAAGCACAGCTTGGGGCGTCGGGTGTTCTGATTATTCTCATTTTGCTATTTACAGTTTATCTACAATTTATCTTTAAGGATAGGATAGCTAGCTACAGAATGCTAGTTGGATTTCGATCCAACTCGAAAATAAATCGAAAAGAAAAGTCAAAATCTGGAATTAACAGTTCTAGCTTTATCATGACTCCAATTTAATTTAATATAAATTTTATTGTCATTTATCTCATCCAGGTCTCTACATGGTGAACGGCGGAGGTTGGACAGTGGGAGTAGGAAGGCTCGCACTGCGCGGTGACGTGGTGGTGCGCGCGTACAGACGGTCTGCGCACGCGGCGGCGCGCAGCTCGCAGCGCCACCTGGTGTTCGCGTGTCAGTTCCACACGTGCGCAGTCGCAGACCACACGCTGTCCTTCACCAAGCAGCAGCTCGATCATGCCGTGCACGGTAACCATCACTTTCTCGCTTCCGCGTCTGTGTAACGTGAAATTTGATGAGACTATTTTAAAGTAGCCATTGATAGACCAGTATCTTAATTTTTATAATAACTACCGTGAGACATCCTAAATTAACTGAAAGTCGCGGGTTACTCACGTGAATATACTAAGAAAAGCTCTACTAGTTTCGAACCACAGAGGGGTTCTTCCTCATGAGCAGCGAGTACGGTCGTAGCGATTTAAAGAAAAATAAATAATTAGAAACTAGTAGAGCCGATCTCTTCATTCTTATAAACCGAACGAAAATTTAAAAAATCTAAAAGATTATAGAAGGTGTCTTCTGTCAATTTGATCCACAATATCTGACTAAGGTTTTCAACTCCATTTTCAGTCACTTTTACACCTGATCTGGATCTACCTTCTAAATCTAAAAGTCTCGTCAATGGCTTACTTTACACGTTACATTTGTTTGATGTCTATACACTTTTTGTCTTGTCTTGTGTTACTTGAATATATTTCCGCAATGCAACGTGCAAAACCTATTCTGTACAGCATACTTACCAGTCATTATAAAATATCATTTGATTTGCAACTTTATTCTTGCGTCTAAAACACTAAAATGTTTGCCGCATGTAAATCTGGCTTAAATCATACAAAATGGAATGATAGGTTACTCTGTCATAACATACCAGGACACCTTTTGATCTCCGAAGGGGTAGATAAAGGTGTAAATTGTCTATAAAACACCCATTTTCTACCAGTCATCTTTGGGCTCCCATATGAAAGGGGGACGAGCTTATTGTTATGCACTAGGCACAATTCCGACCTCTGCGATATTACTGAGCAAGCGCAGTAGCAGCGCCACAGTCGCTGGGTCGCGTGTCGCGTAATGCTGCTCATGAATATGAGTCCCTAACTCCCTAGTATGGCTTGAAACTAGTCGAGTTTCTCGTCAAATAATTACACGAGTAAGCCGAACAACGTAATAATGAATTGCTGAACAATTTCGGATATACAAATAAACTTAACAGTTTACTCAACCCGAGAATAAAACCCCTTTTACTCAGTTATATTATGTATGTCGGGTTATATGACACACAGACTATATCTAGATGTAGGAACGTAAGTGAGGAAATGATATTCTAGAACAAGTGATTTATTTCAATAAGTGTACTCTACAATTGAATACAATTACGCCGACATGATCGTGTTATCAGGAAAATTGTTCTAGCCATTAAATGTGAGGTCAGAATAATAAAGTGAAATGACTAGAGTGCAAAACGCTTATCTAATGGTATGTGTTTCAACGCTGAAATAAATGTCATCTATAATATTTGTGTCGTATTGATGTTGTGTTGTAAAAAAGTCACTGTTATAACACCATTTTGGACATAAGACTTAGCTCATAGCTTTGGGTTTTTATATAAAAAAGACATGTAGGGTCTATACTATAACAATGGTCATTACATTTCATTGATAATGAAAAAAACAAATGAAATTCAGAAACGTGTTCGATTTTCAGATTAGAAATGTAGTATTCCATATTTTAATCTTAATAATTCGATGATGATTCAGAGTTTGAATCAGATACTAATTTTTTTGAGGGGAGGGAACAATTTAATGACGTCTCCCGCCTCGAGTGAGGTGAGAGGGAGTGTCAGACTTTTACTGTTTATAAACCATCCCATTCCTTCTCCTGCTTCGATTCGGTAACCTGTAAAGTCCGCACTCCGGGAACTAGTTACTACCTAAAGCGCCTTCAAAAGTTAAAACAACTAGCGGTCAAAGAGTAAAGAGGGGAATTACTCATTATTGTTTCGGGGAATACCAAACATGTGATGTAACGATTATGACTGTATACCTATTTAGTTTTTATTTATATTTGTTGAACCAGACCCCTCGTTCCCGAGCGATGGAGCAGTAGAGCTGGTGTTCCTGCGCGGGGAGGGCGGGGGCGGGGCGGCGCCGGCGCCGACGCCCGCGGCTCCACTGCGCGCGGCACCGGACGCGCTCGCTCGCGCAGACTCACTCGAACATCTGCGACCGCTGTCCACACTCACTGATGATGATCCAGGTAAGAGAAGTGGTGATTGATGATGTTTTTCTACTATAAATAATAATAAGTATTTTATAATAACTATCGTGAGACATACTAAATTAAGTAAAAACGCGGGTTACTCACGTGAATATACTGAGAAAAGCTCTACTAGTTTCGAACCACAGAGGGGTTCTTCCTCATGAGCAGCGTGCGCGGTCGCGGCGACGTCGCGCAGCTCACT